ACCCTAAACCCTAAGCCCAAAGGACTCCTTGAGCCAAGAGGCTTAGGAGCCTCTCCGGGCTTCAGCCGCACCTGTTCGCAAATGCGCAGAGCTGGGGAAGGACGATAATCAATCGGTTTAGGAGTTTAGGGTTTAGGNNTAAACCCTAAACCCTAAACGGGGCTTCGAGGTCAAGCTCCAGCCTTGGTCAGGCCCTCCAAGGCCACGGCTGCTCTGCACAACTCGTCGGCATCGAGGTCTGCAACGTCCTCCCTTGGGTTTGGGGCGCCCCACAGTAGTTTNNGGTTTAGGGCTTGGGACTTAGGGTTTAGAGTTTAGGATTTAGTTTTTAGGATTTAGGGTTTAGGATTAGGATTTAGGGTTTAGGATTTAGGATTTAGGGTTTAGGGTTACCCTTGGGTTTGCGGCTTAGGGTTTAGGGTTTAGGGTGTAGAATCTATAAGGGATCTATAGTAGGGTTCTATATTAGGGGCCTCAGGGTTTAGGGTTATTTAGGGTTTAGGGGTTTAGGGTTTAGGGTTTAGGGGCCATAGGCCCCATAGTAGTTCCTTTTTGGTGGCCTATATTTAGGATCCTCTTAAGTAATCCCCAAAAAGCAACTACTATGGGGCCTCTGGGTAGGGTTCAGGGCTTAGGGGCTTGGGGTTTCGGGCTTGGGTTTGGGGTCTAAACCCTAAACCCTAAACCCTGAACCCTAAACCCTAAAACGGTTCGAGACCCAAAAGCCCGGAAACCAGAGCCTTTATCCCAAAGGCCAGGCAGAGAGCCCCGCCCTTCGCAGAGCTGTTCCAAGATTTGTTTTGCCGAGTCTTATTAGGGTTTGGGGTCTAGAGTTTCGGGTTTAGGGTTTAGGTCTAGGGTTTAGGGTTTAGGGTCTAGGGTTTCGGCTGTTGCTACCATTGTTCTGGAAATTCGCATCACCTCTGTTTTTCGTAGTTATTCTTAACACTAGAGTCTTACTAACTATTGTTCTTGGGGGACCGAATTCCGTACTAGTAAAAATAAATAAACAAATAAACAAATAAATAAATAAACAAATAAATAAACAAATAAATAAATAAATAAACAAATAAATAAATAAACAAACAAATAAATAAATAAATATAAATATATAAATATATATGGATAATCTTGGCTGAGTTGCGTCACCCTAAACCCCTGCCAGACCCAATACCTCGAACCCCTAAACCCTAAACCCTCATCCGACATGAGCTCTTTGGAAGCAGAACGTCATGGTTTGAACAACTCTCGTCACCGACCGGCAGCGACAGTGAGGTCAACCCTCAACCCGAAGCAAGAGGGGTTTAGGGTTTAAAGTCACGGGTCTTCGTCATGTTCTAGCCTGGCCCTGCCTGGGCCCTAAATTCGAAATCCCAAACTCTAGACCTCACAAGAATTTCCAAGGCTTGCAAGGTTAGAACCGGAGGTGCCCTGGCCCCTCCCCAAAATCCTTTGATCCCTCAGCCCATAACCCAAACCCTTTAAGCCTTATGCCTCCCAGCCCTAAGAGCAACCTATCGGTTTAGGGTTTAGGGTTTGGGGTTCAAATAATCTTGCGTGCAATCGAAAACCTTTGTACTCTAGGCATACGCCGCCTTTGACCTCGAAGAGCTGAGATGCAACGGTATGTCCATTTCGGCGGCCAAGCGCTCGGCCAACGTCGCCTGGAGCTTCGAATTTAGGGTTTAGGGTTGACTACGTTCCCCAGTAGCCCCCCCTAATAATGAGGTTACCCTTTTCCCTACCATTTGGCCTTCTTCTATCAAAACTATGCTGGTGGCTTCAGGTAGAACAATTGGGATTCACTTCTCACTTCTTCATGACACCAGGCAACTCCTTCTTGGAAGCTCATTGCATGTGGCAGTGATTCCCTGTCTCGTGAGGTGGGTTGTTTATGTTGTTCGGGAAAGTGTAAGGTTACACCAGAACCCTACAAACCCACTTTTTTGCGGTTCCCAGTTATAACTTCCTGTTTAAGTCCTGGTAGGTTATTGGGTTGAGGTAGGGTTTGGGGGGTGGATGTATTCCCGCTGCTTCCTGCTTCGCAAGGGTCTTTGGAACAACCTCATGCACGGCCCTCTAACTCAGATGCCGAACACCCTTACAGTAGAAGCCCAAAAGTTGAAAATCCAACAGCCTCAATCCTTAAGACGAATGCTCAAGTGATCCCAGCACTATTTGGCCTCACTCCGGTTTCCAACTTTTTGAGGGTTCCTATAAAACAAAGAACCTCTAGGACACACATGAGGTGTCTATCTTACCTGGGCTCTTGTTAAGGAGCTTAACTAAGTTAGCATAGTAGACAACTATAGTATTTGATATGCTGTCCTTGCTTTCATCTTGTGGATCATGGTTACCGATATTCTTGCCATTATTTTTATTATTGATATACATATATATGAGACACTCTGTTTCCGTGGCCAGGCACAGTTCTATGTCCAAGTGCGCACTACAGGAAACTGGAAGCCTCTGGGATGCACAGCGGAGCCACTGGGGACAGGAGGTCGTCCAGAGGCATAAAGCTAGGCAGAGCCCTGGGCTTCTTCTCCAAACGGGCGGGCAGGGAGGGAAAAGCTTGAGAGATGAACGGAGGCGGCCACTCGTCAGGTTCCTCAAGCCTCAGCAAGCAGGTACAATGAGACACTCTGTTTCCGTGGCCAGGCACAGTTCTATGTCCAAGTGCGCACTACAGGAAACTGGAAGCCTCTGGGATGCACAGCGGAGCCACTGGGGACAGGAGGTCGTCCAGAGGCATAAAGCTAGGCAGAGCCCTGGGCTTCTTCTCCATAACATTGGCGCACAAGTCCAATTCAGTGCCTGGCCTTCACTGCAGTCCGAAAAGGACGGCCAAAGGCCGACTGAAGCGTTCATAAATGGCATTCACCAGAGCAGCACTGAGACGTCGACACAAGCCTGATGGATACGAACAGGCCTGCCTGACTCGTGTCGCTTGCTCATGGGCCAGCAGGCGAGCATGAGGCTTGCAACTGCGACTGCAAATGCCCTGCCGGCCCGTACAGTGTCTGACCACTGCATGCAACGAAACATGGCTTGCAAGCAACCTGGTGCGCTGACGCCGTGAACCTCCGTCCTGGCAGTAGTCAGTGCAATGTTGGTGAACCTGCAGCTGGCGGCACAGACGACGCACACATGGGACTTGCCACAAATGCGCAGTATGAGGGCTCGCCAAAGCGACAGGAATGCTTTTGCGCATGCATGCTCTGAAGACTCGCACTGTGAAATGAACGAGCTTGGTGGCCAACGGAGTGCTTGGCCGCCGAACCGCTCCTGAGCCAGGCAAGCACGTGAGGCCTCGGTCCAGTGCTGCACACTGCAACGGAGCCCAGTCTCCAGAAACCGAACCACTAAACCACACAGCCGCAACCCGGTCAGAAGAGATGAGTTGCAAGATGAACCTTTGCAAGGGGCCCTTTGACAGGTCGTGCTCACTCCCGAAACGTATGTCGATAGGCACAATCCGAAAGGCGGAGCCAAGCATGCGCTTCAAGGCGCGACTCAAGGAAGCTTCACCGGCAAACAGTTCTAGGACAAAGAGCGGCCCGGCGGAAAGAACTCGCTGAACCGGCTCGTCATGACATGCCCCACCTGCTTTTCGGCCCGAAGCGCCTCGTTTTGCTGCACCTCGGAAAGCTGTCCAAAAATCTGTGCAAGCTTGCCGCCCTGCTCGTACCTGCGCACACTGGAGAGGCAACGCCATCGCCCTCTCTTGGCGATTTCTTCCATGGTGCGTAGGCCCGTGAGGGCGTCTGTGCTGGCTGCACCGTGGCGGATCTGGTATGAGTGTACCACTCCAAGAGGCTGATAGCCAGCAGCGGCGGCGATGTTTTTGAACACCTGTCCTGCGTGCACCACGTCGAAGAGGAACAAAGGCTGATCTCCCTGCATGCGGCTCTTCATCCGGCCCAGGATCTGCCCAACCCACTGCAGGTATGGTTGATCGATCAAGAGATTCTCGTCCATGTCGCCTGTTTTTGAGGGCAAACACAGATCCATGGGCCCGGACGGGGACAAGAGCAGGCTGTAGTAACGACAAAGCTTGTTTGGGCTCACTATGTGCTTCACGGCAAGCTTCAAGGTTTCTCCCGGTCGGCAACTGACTGCCCATGTCAGCGCCATCCAAAAGGCAACCCAGTACTCCCCGGCCAGTACAGTTTGGATCATCATGAAAGCCAGCATCGGGTAAGGCAGGGGAGTCCGAGCTTGCGAGGGTGCCAGACGCCTGAACCCACGAAGTGCTTGACTGGCTCGAGTCAGGACGGCCACCTTTGCCACATCTTGGCGATGGTACTTGACTGCGGCCAGCAGGGTCTGGGGAGTAGCCAAGCTGTCGCCCTCGAAGAACTGCTCGTTTACGGCCCAAGCCACTGCTGCATCGAGATCCGTCACCGTGTTTATCTTCAAGCGGTGTGTCTTCACGAACTGCAGGAAACCTGCCCAAGCCCGAGCGTACGACTGTTCTCGGCTCGGGGTCACCGCCTGCCGCTCCAGGAAGCAGGGCTCCTTGACGTTGGACTGTGCCAGTGGGGTGCTGTCTGCGTGTTTCCGCTTGCGGCTGGCAGCCTTTTTCTCCTTGATCTGCTTTGCTGAGAGCACTGGCATCTTCTCCTGCTGCACCGCGCGGGAAGTAGAAGGCGACAGCTTGTGAGCGCCATCCTTGGTGCCTCCTTTGCGAGGAAGCATGATTGCTCTGTAGCTCTTGCGCTCCAGATTTAGGATCAAAAGGCACCCATGCTTTGTTTCGAGAAGCAGCGTCTGCTGGGTTCAGTTCTGAAGCTACCCAGCGGAAGTAAGGCTGGAACCCACAACTTAAACTTAGAGCACAGGCTTGTCTACAGATGCGGTTCATCCCCTTGCTGGAGCTGCGGCCTTTGCTCAGGGCCAACACCGACGTCATGCTATCGCTCAGGACAACATGTCGTGCTCCGTGGTTTCTCTGAGCTCTAGCGAGATGTTGCAAGGTCCAGACAATTGCTCGCCCTTCAAGAATGGCGATGGGCTCCTGGCGCTGCCACTGCCCACTGCTAACCTTTTTCCACTCACAATCCAGGAAAGATAGTGGTATCTCTGGTACAGGGACTGTGGGGCATTGGGTTCGCAGGGTCTCCAGTTCCAGAATGTCCAAACACGAGCCTGCACCGTGCTTCTCAGGGACCAAAGTCGCCGCCTCTTGCTCTCGACTGAACCTCCAGCGATCACACACGTGTCCTACTTCACGAACAGACTGGATCTCATGGGTGCTCACTGCCACGCCGCGGCCCCAGGTTGAGGCATCTGTGGCATAGACTTCTTTGCTCCAAGGCGCTGAAAGGTCGCGCTGTAGTAGTGGAAGCAACGACCTCGCCCAGAAAAGCTCACGACGCACTTGGGGCCATAGTCGAGAATGTCTCTTGTAGCACTTGCGAATAAAGCAATAACAAGCCTGAAAAATGCTCAAGTATTCTCGACGTAGCAAGCCCGCAAAAGTGAAATGACCGATGAACTTTTCCAGCAGTTGTCCTGTGGCCCAGCCTCTTGCGAGAAGCTCGTCAGTGGCCAGCCTCAGTTTCCACAGGCGTCGTGTAGTCACAGTCACCGTCGGGCTTGTGTCACTGAAGTGCCAGCCTAGCGTGTCGCCACCCACCGCTGCTTCAACCTCGTGCGTCGGAAGTCCACGCTCTTGCAAAGCTCCCTGTACTTCAGCAGCGAGCTCTTTCACGAGGCCCTGGCGTTGAGAAAGCGCGACGAAGTTGTCGACATACTCCGTGTGCACGAAAGGCCTCATGGGCGGCGCAGGCTTGCCGTCTACGAGCCGAAGAGAAGCAGGTAGTTTAGGGATACTGTTCACAACGTGTTCGTGGCATTGCTGGCAAATCCACAACGCATGTGTCCATCCCATGGGCACAGCTTTGAATACTGGAAAAACTTTCTGGGTGGGCGACACCGGGCGACCGCCCAGCGTCCACAAGTCAACTTCTCCTGCTTGCACAGGTCGCAATCCAAAAAGGTCTCGAAATTCAGTGGGCAGCTCGATCTGGTAGAAAGCATCAGCTATGTCGACACCACCCACCTCTATCGGTGGTCCAGGATCCACGTCCAGCGCTGCAAACGAAGCACCAGTGGCCAGAGACACCTTCGAGGATGCTCCGAACCAACAGTTTGACAATCGAGCGTCTACTATGAGACGCTGTTTGCCCGACTTCTTCCACACACAGAAAAGGCCCACCTGCTCACGCACGTGGAGCCGGTACTCCACGAGTCCAGCTGCTTCAAGCCGTCTTAAAAACTGCACATAGCTCACTCTGCAATGCTTCAGCTTCGGATCAAAATAAGGGGCTTTCAAACCGGCCTCTCTCTTAAAAACGCCCGCTTCGCTTGGAGATACCATCTTCTGGCGCAGCACCTTCACTACGCTCTCAGCCTCCGGCCCCAAGATGGCAGTCAAAGAAGAAGGACTACCACCAACCGGAGGAAGGGAGACAAGCTCCCTGTTGAAGGGTGCAAGGCTAGCAGGTTCGCCTGAATAGCCAAGTTTGGCCTGGAGCTCTACAAGGGCTCCCCGACCGGAAAGATCATCTGGAGGCTTTCCCAGACTACGAACAGCATCCCGAAACCTATGCAAACAGGTAGCCTGTGCAAGCGTCGGTTTAAGGGGTTGCTTTGAAAAATCGCCTACGAATTCGTCCCCAGCATACATGCTGTTGAGACTAGTCACAATGTCACGCACCCACCCCTCGACATGACTAGCGGACAAGACACGCCTACGGGATGAGCGAGACAATGACTGGCTTGCAAGTGAAGTTGTGCCAGCGCAGGGCAGTGGCAGAGGGAAAAGATCTCGCTGTCTCTGACCTTCGCTCAAAACTGTGGGCCCCATGTGTCCAGTGCACGTGGGCGGCGGCAACTGAGGCCCTACTTCGATGCAGCTGCCCGTTCCTCACGGGCCTTCCTGACCTGCTTCATGACCGATGCATCCTTCTCGACTTCTTTGGATACGTAATCCAAAAGCTCTGGTGCCACCATCGTGTCTCCGAACTCGCGATGCGTCCCAGTGAAAACCGCAGCTTCCGCCTTGTAGGCTTCATCGACTTTTTTCTCCTTATTCTTGCCTGAGCCCTTTCCGCCGCCAGGGCCCCGATCGGAGTAGAAGTACTCGATGAGCTGAAGTCGGCGGAAGGCTAACTCGGCTCCCGCCAGGTTGGAAAGATCAAGGCCATCAAAGCGCCCCAGCCGATCCAAGATCTTCATGAGGTTTTCGTGCTCTGTAGCTCCCCATGCATCCGCTTGCAGCCCGTGATTCGTCATCCACCAACGATGATGATCCATCGGTCCTCCGTTTCTGCGGTTCAGAAAGCGCACACACCACGCGGCAGTCCGCGGACCAGGCACGTTCCAGTCAGCAAACTCCTCAGCATGCGTCTCTTTCGAAACATCTCGCCACAAGCGCTCATCGCGTTGAAGACCCTGGAAAGAAATCCCCAAGAGTCGGGCATCAGCGGCTGCCTCCTTGCCCTTGTACTTGGAGATGTCGTCATCCCCCATCCTGCGGATTGCGATCCATGAGCCACCATCTGGTTTCAAGGCAAGGTCCCCTTGCACGATCTCTGATCCATCCAATGCCACGACATCGCCCCTCAGATGGTGCTCTGTGCTCTCGATGCACACCCACTTGCCACCAGTTGACGCAGCACTAGCAGGAGCACCGGCGGGTGCAGCTGCAGGAGGGGCTGCCAGTCCGGGCCCTGCACCGGGTGGAAAGGCAAGCGCTGCGGCGGCATGTTGTGCATCCAGTCGCATCTGGGTCATCTCTTCGCCTGCGGGCATGTTGCGGAAACGATAGGTGTTGCTGTCATCAAGCCCGGCAGGAAGCTGGAGAGCTCTTCCCACACGGAAGCCTGATATGTCATCGTTCTCCAGGCTGATGTGCTCCGGAAAGACATCGAAGTCTGGAGTTAAAACGATGTGCCACCCGCGTCCGCATGCACATGAAGCCAGGACCAAACGCTCGTGCCAAAGCTCAGGTGGCGGTAGGTCATAGCAGATGTACACTCGGGTCCCTTCCGCCAGCGACATCAGCGTGAGAGTTCTGTCCGTCGGCGTCTAAGGACCTGCAACTGCTCTTTGGCTCTGTCCTCCACACTCAGTGCTGACTGCGAAAGCTCGTTGAGAGGTGCGGAACGTTCGTTGCCAGTTCTGAGTCTCGAAAGCCAGCGTAGAAACCACCGCAAGCCACTGAACAACGACTGCCAAGCAACGCCAGCAACGGTGAAAAACAGACCTTTGACCAGCTCCCACTTC